AAATGTATTTCACGCACGCTCGCACGAGGAAGCCATAACGATATAACTGCAGAAATGCATATTATTATAAAATATTTAATCGTTATAAAAACAAAAATAAATCAATGAATTTCTTTTATGGAATAATAATTTAGATTTAACGAAAATACTGCAGTGAACGACTTACGTATTAGTAAAGTATTATGCCAAAATCGCATACATCCTACATGCACTTAATACCTATTCATTAATAATAATTAACAGTATAAGACATAAGTACCTACATCAACAAGTTTAGAGACTTATAAAATACAGTAGTTATTTATACTTACATTTTTTTTACTTGTATTATTATTAAATAGACAACTCCTTTTCGTCATTTCAAAAACTTTTATATATTTTATGGTGTTCTTTCTGCAGGTAAAAAAGATAAGCACAATACGTTATTAAAGATGGCTATACATATAATTATATTTTTCAGTATCTTTTTTTTTAGTACATATTATAATAATATTATGCTTTCGCTGTAAGATATAATATATTCAACATTAACACACTCACGCATGAGTATGCCGCGTGACAGTATACGCGGTATTATTACCGATTCTCAAGAAGAGTTCAACACAAATTCATTATGCATATTTTGCTCTCAATTATTACTATTATTATTATTATTTTTATAACTATTATATTGTTACTACACATAAATTAAAAACGTGCACTTTATTTACCTATGCTTGGTGCGCAATATTATGTGTGCTGCTACGTGTATGTAGCATATATGTGTTCGAGATGGTCCGTCTCAGATAAGAAATGAATAAAAAATTAATATATAATAACGTAACGATAAACCTAAAAGAAAAAACTCGAGAAATATTAAAAAAGACTAACCGCAACCCGAGCGAACAATGGGTACGTTTAGCATACCCATATCGTACGTATATATATATATATATATATATATATATATATATACGACGTGTGTACCTTATATGAGTTTAATATACGCAACGACGCGCGGTCATGTCGAAACACCTCTCTTTTTATTATTTTACGTATGCGTCTCACGATAGTATACGTTTACTCGGATGACTACTGAGATTTTAATACCTAATATACACGCACACAAGCGCGCGCGCACACACACACACACACACACACACACACACACACACACACACACACACATACACTAGCGAGGGGGTAGAGAGCTGAACGCAGTGCAAGTTTATTATATGATAATGCACCAACGATTTTTATTGCAAAACGTATAAAACGTTTTATATTGTCATACCCGGTTATGTGGTCGCGGGAATACCTGCCGCCGGATATTTCACCCTCTTGCCCTCTACCACCGCCCACTCTCATGCAGCCCCAGCCCCGGTCGTTTTAAACCCCTTCTTAACGGAATAGGTAAACGTAAAATAGGTATCGCACACACATTGCATATTACTTACTTTACATAATATTATAATAATTAATAACTGATAGCGGGATACACGAGTTTCGCTCATGCCGTAAAACATAGACGAGTATTAGCTCAATAATTGGCAGTAGCCAGCTGCATTATGTCTACATAATATATTATAATATTGTACACTGGATATAACAATAAAACACAAATCGACAATCATACGTAATAATAGCAATTAGTTCGGAAAAAGTATTTGGAAATCGCGTGACATAAACACAATAAATCATAAAACAATAAGTACGGTTTGACCATAATATTATTACCTGTTTACCGACACGAATATCTGTAGTCCGACTGTTTCAACGTTACCTACCTTTCTTTTTCCTATATCCCAAATATTGTATAATATTCAGCCAACCCAAAAAAAAAGAGTATTTTGGTATTATGCTTTCATAATATTATAGTCTGTATTAAGAAATTATAGTTCTAAACTTCATATTGTACTATTATACTCGTATAGGCGTTGCTGAATCGACGCTTTATTATATCCGTATTTGCCTTACTATAAAATAATTTACTTTATTATTATAGTGTATGATAATACAATAACACTTAACAACAGATCTAAAATATGATTCCTAATAAAAATAAATTAGCATTCGACGATGTGCACAATCGTACATTAATATACATATCTTTCAATATCGCCTTGAGATAAACACTTGCAAATCATACTCGTTTGATTATAAATTAATAAGTAATTGTATTATGAATGGACATAACAAGTGTTTGTCTTAAGCAATATTCATTTCCGATAAAAATATGTAATGCTGTGTACTCCAAAACCTCTTGATGCACATTTTACTATTTTAGTTAGTAGTTTTACACTTCGTGAGATTTCGTAACTCACAGAAGACAGTATTTTTCTGCTATCGATTTTTGAGAAATCGAGTCGTTTAAAGTGTGTATGGTATGCAAAACAACTTAATTGCCAAAAAATTGAAATCGATATTATATTATAGAACTATTATAACGTCAATATTATTAACGATGCTCTTTTAATCAAGAAGAGGCCTCACTCTATACACACTGGTTTGAAGGATTATTAACTTTTAACAAAGCGTGGTTTATATTTAATTTTTTCCCATCACTCGTTCAATAGTCCTGAGTGTCAGTTAAACGATCGTTTCAGTCAGGTAGAATTATTGTGAACACGTTAAATTGAAAATATTACACTGAACGTCACATTAGTATATTTTGCATACACAACCTGCTCATAGTTTCTCAATTTGACGGTGATATTGAGTTCTCTATACAACGTCACGAATATACGTCATAATAATAATCTTATTACTATTAATGGACAGTTGTTATACGTTGAAAGTAAATCACCGAATAAACATTCAAACGTCGTATCGCCGTTACATGCACGAGGCAGTGAAAATATAATATGTAAGCGTGTCTCTGAACGAATCAGATGAATAACAACTAGTGCGTTTCATATAAAATAATACTAATAATGTGATATTCAACCCGCAGCATAATATTATATTATATGGTGTGCGAAAGGAGGATGACACAACTAGTAACGTAACTGCGCCATGTACTGCATGCGAAGGTGGGCAACATTAACACCTCCCCCCCCTTCAAACGTCACTAAAAAAAAAATATAAAAATAGTAATAGTATATGAATAGTATATAATATAGTATAATATAACAAAAATTGTACATACGGTGCTTCTAATATTACCTATACATATTACATAATGTATAGTGTGAGTTCCGGGTCAGAGTATAATTTAAATTTAACTCAACAGGACACACTACTATGTATTGAAAGGACGAAAACCAGTTGAATCGTTACATTTTTTAAAACAATTAATTTTCTATAGGATTTTATTCGAGCGCATTTCCATGTTTTCCATCGAGCTGTTTTTTGCCTGTCGAAAACTGTAGGGACGGTGTTGTACAGTAATCGATCTGTAACGGTGTGCACTGAACACAGATGTCCCAGTTACTCGCCTTTTTCTTCCACCCCTCCACCAGTGCTCGCTCCCGGATTTTCCGCACTCGTTCACCAGTCCATTCCTTACTTGTTCCTCGGCTCAAACTTCCTTCCGTTGTGGTAGTTCTGAGAAACTGACTAAATGTCGAAAAACCACAGCGGTTGTCCTGTCACCGACGCCGCCGAGCGCCATCGTACAGTCGACCCCATAAAACTTTATTATCGAGTTTAAAGACCGTTGTCGAGCACACCCGCTACCACCCACCACCAAGCGCATATACTTATTTACCGACCCAGAAACTTTTTCTCCAAATCCCCCGTATGTTATTTCATACATGTTATACTGGCTTTAAAATGGCCTTTAAATACAATTGTATACGCAGAATTTTACATAAAAGATTGGTCATGGAACTATCAAAATAATATATATTTTAGCGGAGCATTATATAATCCACACCCTATATACCACCACCATCAGCATTTTTGTATGTTACTAAAAATTAAATCATAAGTCATTTGTCAAGCCAAAAATGTGTTATATTTAGCGAGTCATCATGACCTCAATAATCTTAGATAGACTTAACAGTTTTTGTTAGATTTATTCTTGTAAAGGTATAGTGTCCCTGCAGCAGCGTCTAGGGTCAACTACCGCTCCGGACATAGAAAACGTCTAGATGCAACCCGACATCATGACGCCGTGCTTTTTCACTGTTTGACGCTGCAGGGCTAACCGTATCTTAACTTCGGCTGTTTGGTGTACATGATAATACTATAGTATGCGTAGTGAGAAATATTTGAAATATATACTCATCACATATGTGTGGCTGTTTAAGACATGTAAATAATTGTAAGATAGTTAAACAATGCTTAGGAATAACTTATTAACATTTCAACATTTGACTTATAGTAGGTCATTGACAGTATTTGAATTATTCTAATAAAATATTAAATAACATGTTAAGTGTGCATAAGATGCTTGTACTTAATAACAAATAAATTAATATTACTATACTATGGTTTGATGTAGGTATGTATAATGATAAGTGCTTTATAAATTACACTAAACAAATTTAGTTTAAGTCTTATACCTTAAAAAAAAACAATGACTGCAGACAGCGGGGTGGCGTGCCAATAATCTGTAAGACGTGTTGCTTACATTTGAACTTAAGGTGAATCTATTTTTTTTTTAAATTTATTTGTACTGGAATTTATATATTATTATAATATAGCTATAGCTATTTTGGTATTTTATAGAGGAACACGTCTGGTGCTGGCAAATCAAGTCATGCGTAGAAATCAATCAACAGTCATACTTTATTTAAGGTCAACACTTGAGATTAGGTTATTTCGTTTTTAGTTCTATTTAAATTATAGATCCATATAAAATAAAAACTATCCGATTTAAAATTATTGTTAAATAATATACCATCAGTAAGCAACGAGTTCTATGTGTATAAATATAGGTGAAAATAAAAATTAGTTAAAATACCTATAACCGTAGGTACATAATTTCGATGTATATGCATATATGTATACTCATACATTATAATGCCATGCATACCTGGTTACTGATTATAATACTTTAATCTATGTAATACTTTGCTCTCTTCGTACGCGTAATTATATTAATGACGATACTGCTCGACGTTCGTGTATATTATAATGTTATTTCGATGAAGACACCGCGGATCAAAATATAAACAGGGCACTCGTATACCGGACCCGACATCGATTTTCGTTTACCACGGTATAATATAATAATATTAAACGTAAGTATATTACGCCGGTATACCTATGTTATAACATATCATAATACAGCGATTTCAACACACGGTGTTGTCGAGGGTGGTGGGAGGGATTGCTGCTGCTCCGATGCGGACTTGGTGCAGTGAGGGTGTGCGGTGGTGGCGGCGGTTATATTGTTTCTTCATATCGTCGGCAGTTTGTCTCGGTCCTCGGCAGACGACTTTATAAATATTATAAACGACCTAATCGCCACCCCCTTTAGTTGTCTGTCGGCAATTACTGTTTCGGATAATAATATTATCATGCTGAATTAATTCGCACTTTATCGTGTTAAACTCTTCGCCATGGTGTATAATGATATACGCTCACTCCTCTATATATATATATATATATATCTATACGTCTTGCCCCTTTTTCTCTGTTTTAAAATTCGATGTCCGCCCTCCAGCCACGGAATATAATATAACTCCTAACAGTAATAATAATAATAATAATATTATGTAACGTACCCGTCGTTTTTTCTTCTTCTGCTTCTCGCGATCTTCCTATTATATTATTGTTAGACCGCGGCGGCGTGTGCATAATATGTATTATAATATTACATTTAACCTCCCCGGACAATTAAATCCGAGCATCCTCTTGGCCGCGTCCGTATAATATTATCATCGTTTGCGCGTGAACTTAACTACGGAATTTAGCGGCCATAGTGCGCGGGGTAATAATATGCATATTATAACGCGTGTCGTATTTTATATATAATATACTCGCGGTTCCTTCGAGTCAGCAGGCTGTATATATTACGGACAATCCGAGACGTTAACGATAATAATAACAGTTATCATACATATTATTATTATTATTATTACGACGATTGTGTCGGGCGGGTCGCGTACCGTGATACTGCACCTACCACGTTTTTGCGACGAAAAATGAAAAGCACTCGCCGTAAACCAGCAGAGCCTGCGGGAGAAATATTACCATCGCAAAATATTATTATTATTATTATTATTATGATTATTATAACTGCGAAATTTCCAAAAGTCGTCGTTCGTCGTGCGTTTTATATTCCCCCGGGCTATCGTCGCGACCACGGTCGGTCCACGTGGGTCCCTTTTTGTGGTGGTTTTATTTTTTTCTCCCGTTATAATTTACAGCCAAACTTTTCGATGCCGTCAGAATTATATTATATTTTATCGACGTTCGCCACTCGACCAACACGCTGCACTTGCACATAATACCGTACTATACACTTTATAGGTAGGAGAATATACGGAGTGATTCTCTTGATGGTGTGAACTTTCACAATTATATTGTTAGAAATGTACTAACTTTTTGCAGTAAATAATATTCTATTGAGTATATATATTATATAGATCATTATGTTCTACAACTAATGTGTTTGAATAAACTATACCCGTATCGTATTCAAAATTCGTATAAACGTCAACACTATTATTCAAATTATGAAATAATAATAATAATTGTAATGGAATTAAAAACAAATATCACAAGTTGACGGTGGTTTCACTATTCAACACCTTAAAACATAAAGGGCGAGATAAACAAAGACAATATGATTTAAGACTATGGATCGGGAATTATCCAAAAATAGACGAAATACTTTTAAAAATAATGAGTATTTACTGTTAAGAGGGCGCCACACCCGAATAATTTGTCAGCTCTGTTTCACAACAGCGTGATATGGAAAATGTACGCTCAGCTGTTTCAGTTTAGATTCTTAAGTATTAATACTATAGTGAATCAACTTATTATCAAACTTAACTTGTAACAACCTTTTCTATATTTGTTGAACTGGTTTTTATTTTTACGATACGATTTTTCAATTTTTAAGTGAGTTATGAGCATATAAATTATATCTTAACTTAAAAATAAAATTAATTTGCTTTAACATTTAAATGTATTTTATCGTTAAAAACCCGTTACATAAAAACAGTTTTACTTGTAAGTTTGATTGTAAGTCAATTCACACTAATATTAAAACTAACGAAGCAAAACGTGAACTGCTGAAAATAAATTTGCTATGCAGTGATAGTTGTAAGATGGAGACAATAAATGCGGGTGTGGCTCAATTTTAAAATTACCACTCTGTATAATATAATAATATGATTAAAACGCAGATGAGTATTTTATGTTTTTTTCATTGATGGCGATCGGTGTATACGAAATATGTATGTCCCACGACCTATGTATAATTACGACAATCCGACACTCACATGATACTCCGGCCATCTGCTGATATAGGTATATTCGATATAAAATTTAACATCATCGATATTATGTCGGTATTTTATTTCTATATATTGAGTTTCGTGTGTATAATACAAGTAAATTGAATACAGCAAGTCAATACAAATGTCTCAGGCTCAGTGTTTACAAATAGGTATATGTCAGGTACATAATAAGTACGTAATATATTTAATTATAACGACACTGACAAATTTTACAGTAGGTATGATTAAAAAAACGATGTGAACTATTATTTTAAGAAAACGTTGTCAAAATCAATACCTAATTGATTTCTACTAATTAATTGATTGGGTTGGGAAATTATTCAATAATGCGTGTTTTATTTTAACACTGTCCAGTATTATTGCCTTTTCAAATAATTATATAGACATTTATAGTAAATTATTCAATTACATTTTATTTGTTAATGACTACAACCTAGATGTATTTGAAAAGAATTTGTTACCTAATGTGTGTAAATTATTTCCTGAAATGTTTCAATGCAAAATGTTACAACTATAACTTTTCTACTACACAAACTGTTATAAATAATATATTAAATAAGTTACGGCGAGTATGACTCGATACGATTCCGGCGGAGAGTTCATATATTTATAAGCGAAACGTAGAAAAACACGTTTTATATAATTGATTATCGACAAAAATTGTTTTATCAATTAGTGTACACAAAATATAGGTATTCGTAATGGCTTGAGCTGATATCGGTTAATCCTATAATGAGAACGCATAATGTGCACTCCATATTAATACGAAAATCAACCACGACGTGATTTCTGAATGGTATCTTATTAGCCGACCAATTTGCTTTATTAGTCGTATTTCAATTTTTAAAAGCAATTTATCGAGCTAATATAAATTAAATTGGGCAAGCAAACATATTGAATGAACCGATTATTAAATGCATATTATAACATTGGATATACATGCTATATACATTATATTTTATTATATAATATGTGTGTTACCGTCAATAATGTAATAAAATAATACTTAAATGTCTAGGGCTCTAGTCCTATCATTAGTAGACGATATCGGCAATGGCTTTTCGGCATCAAACGACTATATGTTCAATGTTGTAAAAATAAAATATTTTGTTAGTTCATAATATCTTAAAACTTTGACTTGGAAATTATCTTAATGTCTACTATATACTGAAAGAAAATGTTGATAATTGTATTTAACAAAATATTTCAATTGTGTTTTACTATTTTTATTTAATACTCCATGATAGTTTGACACTCGACGATATTTCCAAAGCCCGAAGGTATATTGTTTATACTTTTAGATAAATTGATTTTATAACTCGGGTCTGTTTCTAATTCAATAAATATTTTTATAAATCATGGCTGAAGAGGCTGAAATTATCGTCATAGGAACCTTCATAGGAAATATTGCTATATGCATAATTGATGCAAATTAAAGTAATGGATGAAATCGTTATTTCCTAGTCATAATATACTGCAATCTAATTTGATTGGAAGTATCATTGTAGACTACAGGCTAGTCCTGCGATGGTGTTCAACTTTCTTGGATCCACGACTCCAAAATTCATTATTTCTGATTTATAACTCCTTACCGACATTACATATAAGTATATATACTTAGTCTATACTTTACATTTTCATTTGGTGTTAAATTATTTACGACTCTCTAGTAACATTTTGTGACCCCCAAATTGCGCACCACTGGATTAGTCATTAACGTTGATTCCTTATTATTTACATCTTACAGTAACATGTATGTACATTAATATTTAATGTAATATAATATACTATATTATTATATCTATATTTAATTCATAATATGTAGATATTATATAATATTTGTTGTCTTATGTCTGTTTATTTCGATTTTTATGTATATAGTTTTGTCCATAAAAGTTTATAACTACCTACCTAAAGGTTGAAAATTGTTCAAACTGTTTTTTGAAAACATTTCCCCACTGGATTCGGAATTCGATTTTAAACTTGCTAAACTTGTTTTAGACAGCGAAACGTATAAAAGAAGTATTACATTCTAACTTTTGTATGGTAGTTTAAAAATATTACATTTGCTGTAAAAATGCTTTGATCTATTGAATGTTCTTATCTCTTTTGTACTGATAAAACTATGTTTTTTTAAAAATTAAAATACGATAAGTAAAAAGAAAAACCAGATTTAATTATGTGTATAGTTTGCTTTTTTTACAAATCATTTATTTCCACTTTTCTGAACTAATAAAAGCCAATTCCTAAAAATTATTTCATTATTTTAATATTATATGGAATATATATATTAACTTGTAGGTATGAAACAATTATTATTAATATTTCTAATTTGTTTGTTTTTAAACAATAATTAGTCCAAACTCGTACTCAACAATATGAGGTACCTAATCTAACAACTAATAGAACATAAGTTACAATAATAAATTGGACATCGTTAAAAAAAAAGGTTTTTTATATTTACGTCTCACTAAATAGTGACTCAATTTATTATTACATATTTTATAACGTATGTTATTATGGTAATTAGTAATTACACATGTTTAATATAATATTTTATATTTTATGCATATCATTATGAAACGTCGGCTAAATTCTCAGAATTCTTCAAAACATAATATGTGTAAAATAATTTATGCTTTTAATCTGGTCGATTTATTTGTAACGTGCATACGAAAATGCATATAAAATGGAAATAAGAGAATATCGCTGAGGCACTGCTGCTGAAGCTACGGGTAGAACGTATAATGGATTACGATGTAAATGGGACAAAAAATGAATTCGTAATATTATTGTCTGTGGAAAAGTTTGTTACTGATGTGGAGAGAAACTCAAATAGTATAATAACAATAAAATAGGAATAATAATTGCAAATTGTCGCTGAAAATTCGTCGAAGCCCAAAGAAAGTTCTATATATCATGTTACCGAGTGTTTTATCGATGCGTTTGCAAATTGTACACATAAAAGTAATACGAATATTACCTCAGCGTATATTATATTATTATATTTTATAATATTATACATTATGCCGGTGCAGGGTTACATTAGAATCAAGTCCATAAACTGTCTACCGGCCACGTTCGGCCGATACGCATCTCGAGTAGGAATTTCGAAAAAAATTTAATGACAATTTACGTCTCGGGTAATGAGTTCTGGGTGCTTTTTTTATTTATTTATTTTTTTTTTATCCCCAGTAATTTCGATCCACGCCGCACGACGGTCGTCCTTTGGAATCCGGAACGTCGTGAAACCCAAGTCACCGTTTTCGTGCCGATTACGCGAGTTCGGAGAAAACGAGATATCTCATCATTGTGCCACCGAAAAAGTCTCGCATAGGTATATAGGTATCTCTGGTCGTATACAACGCGGTACGATGCGACCTAACCGTCTCGTGTACCGTTATAACAATAATAATAATTATTATTATAAGGGTCTCGTAAAACGGAACGGGGTAATATTGTTGTCAATGCCAAAAACGGATTTTCTAATGCGTCTGCTTTTCGATTTACGAGAGAAACCCGACGTCCGAAAACGAAAGAAAAAAACCAAATCGATCGCATTGCATTACATTACAACAATGGACGGCGCGGCCCGTAACGCTCATAAACATCGGTCTAATGAAGAGCAAATCGTATACATCCGAGGAAAACGTGTAGGTATATATTGTTATATATATATATATAATATAAGAATATAATATGATATTAGTTTAAAATTGCGTACATATTATTGTGTGCTACACACGGGCGAGTCGGTGGAAAAAACTGTATTTATTGTTTATGTATTATTTTTTTTTTTTTACCGGTTTGTTAACGTTGCACACGTCTGTGAGCTGCAAAACATCGAGACCGTAGTAACGCATTATATTATTATTACGGCGTACCCACATGTATGTGTACAATAAATATAATAATAATAATATGCGCGTACATATTATATTGACGAACGGCAGCGGCGGCGGAGCGGGAATAAAAAAAAAAAAATATATAAAACACAATAATTTGAACCGGAATTCAATCGAGATTGAATTGCGTTTCGCAAATTGTTTGTATATACTGACCATGTGTACATATTACATATTATTATATTAATATTATTGTAACTTATAAATACACAATATATACCTATACACAAGCGGACCACCACGGGCAACCACCATTAACCGCCACAAACTACAACTATACCTCCACCGCAGCACCAACGACTACGCTACCACCTTGTCCGACTGCAACTACAGCAGAAGCAGCAGCAGCAGCAGCAGCAGCCGAACCCACGACGAACCCGTGATATCCTGCAGCAAGCTATTATACGAACACGAGTGTACGTCGTTCGTTCGATACTTAAACGTAATAATATGAATATTATATTATATTGCGATTGAGATGAAATCGGTCGAAAAAAAAAATCTCCGAATGTACCACGCGGGGTACACAGCACCATTAATCACGTCCGAAAGAACTGCGTTATTATCGTTATCGTTGCGCGTGTGAGTCGTATATAATAATATAATATAATACAATATCATATTATTATGTATCATACCTCAATACCTGCCGCGCGCATTAGTCGTATTATTTATAATATAATATGACCATGTTGTATAAACGAGTGCCCGAATATTCCAACGAAAGCGGCCGTGTGTATATAAAGTACCTGTACATGTAGGTAAATATAATATCATACAGAGTGTTTCGCCTGATGGTTATAACTTATAACCGGCCACCGTTTTTAAGTTCGATAATATTGTTGGGCCGATTATTCTTTAGAAAATGTAGACGCGTCTTCAAAATCAAAATTCGAAGTCACAAAAACGTTTGTGATTGGAATGATTTATCATATAGTTCTGCGTAGTGTGATGATTTTAAAACTATATCGCTCTTAATTGCAAAAATTGTAAACACTTTAAATCTGAGTTTAATACAATTAACACGTACAACTAGACTGACTTAAATGTTACATATATTTTATGTTTATAACCTTTGCAGTATCTTTTAAACCATTATCATAGACTGTTGTCTATTATTACTCCTAAGTCAACAACGCTTAATAATTCAGGCACCATACTCTTTCGAATTTTGACTTAAGTAAATCATAATTTTAGACAAAATCTTCTTCACTTCTTAAATGGCATAAGAAATAAAGTATAAAGTAGTAAAGGTCTTAAAGTATACTTGAAAATCAGTATTTGAATAAATCAAAAATGCCTAATGATAGGTGAATCACCCTGTATATTGTATACAACAATAATGTATAAAACATTAAAACTACATATTAAAATTTAACTTAGGTGTAATATTCTTTTGGACGCCGTTACTATTAGGTTTATGTCTATCATTTTGGGCTACCAATATTTTCTAATATTCATTATGTATGTAAATCACAGAACAATATTTACTACAACGTTGACTGTTAATTGTTATAAATTAGATGATTCATGCACAACAACTATGCCTTTTACCACATTTATTTACTGTTATCATGCTGTTTTTGGAATTATTAATAATAATTTTTTTTTGTGTCCGGAATCATTTTATAAATTCATCAAATTTTAGTAGTGTTTCTATGCTACCATATATTTTATGATACTATATGAACCTGTAGTCCTAAACTCGTAACTCCTAAGTATAGACACAGTAAAGCCTACAGTGATTTTTGACTAATATACCTATACTATTGTCCGGCTAACCACGCGGATCGTGTAAGAATTGATTTCGGGTCTTTAACGTCGTTTAATAAATTTCTCCAACTTTCTGATATTATACCTACATATTATACTTACATGCGGAAACGCGTTTAAATCCCCCAGAGCGATTATAGGTAAACCAAATGAATAATATTATTCTATATTTTAATTATTCAAAAATATAAACATATATTTTAAATGATAAACAATGTAGGTACTTTAACTACCTACCTAATATTATGAATAGACTAGAATTATGTGTCGATTAAATTGAACAAAGACAATTATTTAAAGGTAAATGTTCCAACGAATTCTCGATTTCTTCTCTGATTCATTGCTTTTAGCAACTAATTTTTATTATAATATGATATTATGATATACTATAGATTGGTAAGAATCCGATTAAAATGAGAATATAACCAATGTGTATACAGGTACTAACACCTACGTCATACGAATTTAACGTGCAACTATTGTGTAATAATTACTTTAAATTTATTTTAAACAAACTTTTATTTCTATAATATAAGTGCTTGTTGATTAAAAAAATATATATTTACAACCATATTATATTATCACGTCATAATTTCAAAGTGTTACCAAACTATTATTGTTACTCATAATGTCATAAATATGGTAAGTAATAAAAAAAATGCATACATCTATATTTTGCGGTTTCGACTAGTAAATTTAAAACTGCTTATGACGTGTTCACATCCACTTTGGATATACATTTCCCTAAATAAAATTAACCCATCGACAGTGTGTTATTGTGGTCTTCAAGTATGTAAATTTAACACCATAATATTACATGAACATTCCATTAAATTTGTATTATCCCTCAGGGTATTGAATTCGTAACGGATTAACGGTTGCACCGAATTCTAAAAAATTACATTTTGATAACGCACGCAGGTAACTCGGATATCGTTCTCAACAATTATGACCATAAAACATAATGTTATACTACCGCTGATGTCGTTTGTCGGTATCGACGATCTATATTATATAACTATAGTACCTAGTTACAAACGTGGTATTCTTAACATTTATATTAAAATAATATAACATGTGCAATCGATGAAATAGGTTAATAAGTATTTGAAACCCATTTGAAATCGATTATAATAGTAACGTCCACGAATATGTCGTTTTTAATCTATATATTTAAAATATTATACATTTATGTACCTACTTGTATCCGAATAAGACTCCAGAATATTAGGAATGAAATTATGATGAGCTACACCTAATAATAATGTTACTTTTCGTGTAACTTTAATAATATATCTAACTACTCCAGTTTAAAACCATCGTAAATACAAGGTATAACCTATACCTACATGTATCCAATATACAATACTATATACATAATAATAATAAAAAGACCAGTAACCTTTGTAGTAGAGGCTTCAATAAAAAAAAAATATTGCATGTTTGAAAAATTGAAACGTATTATTACCATATTTGTTTAGTATTTTTATATGATATAGGCTACACAATAAACTGTCAATAAAATATGCGAGTAAAAATATTATAGAAATATAAATCTATAATGTTATAAATACACTTAATTAATAACTATACTTAAGATGTTATGTCTGTCGTTATATTTACGCAGTAAAGAATATTCGATTGAAATCTACATACATTGTGTAGCGACAACCAACACAGTCGACCAATATCACTTGTACGATTGAAAACATTACGAAATTAGGTATATTATATTATGAGCGAAAATCAAAATCCAATAGCTTAGCTGTCTTGTTGAAATTTAAGGTATATGAATAAATTCTTTATATTACATTTTCCGTAGTCATATCAAATTTACTAAAAAATAAATGTTATACGGTAGTGTATAAGACCTGTAGGTACCTACATGAAAATAGACTATGACTAGTTTAAAGCTAACGATGTTAAAGCTGTTACACGTTTTGTATACAAAAACTTTCAGCTTCTTCAAATAGTAAAATTTTTATATTTGAACGTCTAATTATGTCGTAATGGACTCAGGTTTTTAATACTCTATTTTATAAACTTTTAAATATTCACAAATTGCTGAGTTTTTTAAAATCGATTTTTCAAGCTTCGTTTGAAGATAATTAAAAATTGGAGTCTATAACTTGACCTAAATAAAGTAACTCTTCTTTCAAATTAAAAAAAAAATCTATCAAACTGCGACTATTCTACGAGGTATGGTCGTTTTTCCTGTAAAGTATTTTTCTAAAGTGTTCTATTCGTACACCCCCTGCAAGTGTAGTATTGTTGTAGGACCATCGAGGAATAGAACTAGAAATCGCATGCATTTTCACTCCAGACGCCATTATATAAAATTATTTACAGTGATCTGACGTCTATAATATGATATATAATATATAGGTATAGCAATAAGACCGATGAAATATAAACCTCCACTTGAGGTATTTTAATTTTTAATACAGCGGAATATAATATTTACAGCTGCAGCTTTGACGAATTCTGTTCTTATCTCTATCAAGTTTGTAATGACGAGGGCGTCTTAATGCCAGATTAGCCGGGTCGTAGAGATTTATTGTTAAAAAGTTTAAAAAAAAAATGGTAACAATTTAAATTTATCCCTTGTAATATAGGGAACAGCAACTTTTCCAATATAATAAAGATCGTTAATTTTTTATTCGTCCTACGACGGCGGATGGATCGGAAAGATGCTTCGACGATTATTTTTATATATATAATTTTTTGTGAATTTCTGTAATGTCATCAATCGCCGACGAACGACCCCGGAAAATATATATAATAATAATACTATACCAATCATCTGATCGCGCGCAGTTGTATATAGTAGGTATACATTATGTTATTTTGCATCCTTTATACATTAAATCCCCGGCTGTATTATATATAACTGCATTAATTTTGCAAAACCGCCCTAGTCTGCCTGCAGCATCCCCGCGCACCACCTTTTTGCCACCACCAATAAGT